CCATAGACACCGCCTATAACAACAAAAACGGTGTCGCCTGCTTCAGTAGAATATAAGTAGAATTGGGATTCTTTTTGTTGAAAATGCGTATACACATGCATGCACAGTGCGTTAACTGGAGTGCAGGTATTAAGTTACCCGCACTCTAAAGCATGCTCATTGAAAGGCTCATTTTTTCTGGGGGTTTCTTAAGGTGACGACAGAGAAAATGATAACGATAGGAATGTCGTATTCTGATGCTCGTTCATAAGGGTTTCATATTCTGACAACATGGAACGTATTTTTATACAAAAAAAACAAACAAAACAAACAACATCAAAACACAAGGCAGTCTGATTTATATCTGGGAGGCTATGCTCCCTCGTACAAATCACATAGCCTCGTGTTCTGATGCTTTTTCTATTACATAGTTCGACAAGTTACTTGAAATATTGTCCAAGTCTTAACATCTTTGAATACCGGTATTTAACACTATAGAACTTTATTTGTTGAATTACAAATGAGCCGCGTCATGACAAAACCAACATAGTGCGTTTGCGACCAGCATGGATCCAGACCAGCCTGCGCATCCGCGCAGTCTGATCAGGATCCATGCTGTTCGCTTACCAACCCATTACAAGTAGAGAAACTAATAGCGAACAGCATGGATCCTGATCAGACTGCGCGGATGCGCAGGCTGGTCTGGATCCATGCTGGTCGCAAACGCCCACTATGTTGTTTTGTCCATGACGCGGCTCAAATATTTTCTCAAGACAAAAATATACTTACATAGTTCTGTACAGGGTTCGTCAAGAAGAAATGCGTCGAAACCTTTACAAACTATCCCGAATATTACTAATAGAAACATTCAACATTGTAACACAGTTTTTAAAGAAGTTTATGATAAATAAGACTGGTGAACAGTTTATTAAACTATGCCACAATTTTGTTTGTAAGTTGTTAAAGATAAGATATTATTCATGTACATAAGAAACGTTGGCTATTTAAAGAAACTTAAAAATTTAATCGTTTTTTTTTTTGCCACCACTTGGTTTACATTAATTTTCTCTGCCCATATATACATACATATGCTATATGAATCTATGATACTAAATTTAACCGGATTTCTTAGAAGCACAAAAAAAACAGCATAAACCAATCAAAAAGAATTTTTTAAAAAATGGTTAGCTAAAAAATGAAAATAGTAAAACAACCTTATAAAATTTTTTAAAGTTTAAAATAGAAAAAAACAATATTTACATTTTAAGACAAAATCCTTGCAAAATCCTGAAAAATCGATCACCAAGTTTAGAAAAAATCGTTATTAAAAAATGTATCTCTTCAATTTACTAAAAGCAATTTTAAAATTTCGAAAACAATTTGCGAGTTTCAGCTCTAAAACTGACCTATGTTGTCAACATCTCAGTTCCTTAAAGTGTCGATTTTGGGGGTCATACCTTAAATAAGAAATGGAATCGCTGAGGGTTTACTTTTTGACGTTATAAAGGGTTAGGAAATGGAAGAAAAGTTGAAATGTTATCCTCAAATACTATCATAAGTCTTTACAAGACTGTAAGTGATAGCTCGTTTGTAAGAACACATAAATTTATGACGACACATCGACGTGACAACCGTGTTCAATAATAAAAGAAGTTACTATAGTATCATAAAACGACCTTTGGTAATGGTATGATATGTTTAATCTTTGTAAAGACTATAGTGAACTAAATTATCGATATATGTGTTAAATCAACAACCGGTTGAAAATTAAAAATTTCAATTAGGAAGTGGAGTGATAGCGTTTGGGCGGTGCATTGTACGGGGGGGGGGGGGGGTAAAAAAAAAAAAAAAAAAAAAAAAAAAAAACAACAAAAAAATTTATACAAACATTATCCAGATAACAATAATAAAAGTTTAATATCTCAGAGAAAACATTTAACACATACTTCTTTACTATACGAAAAAAAAAAACAACAGGCAAAACAATATTGATGTAAATTAATACATGTATTCCTGTAAAAAGAACGGAAAAACACTACCATTCCTGTTATGTGTTCATTTTTTGTGTTCCAACTTTTATGCGATTACATATTCAAGAAGAAAAACAGACTGGTGTCATTTGTCTGTGTAATATGTTATCTGTGTAACATGATGTCTGTGTTTGTTTGTGCGACATAATGTCTGTGAAACAGGTGTTCAGAAAACAGGTTTTTGTAAAACTTTATGTTTGTTTAAGAATTGTCTTTTGGAACATATTGTCTTGTAATATGAGTCTTTGTAACATGATGTCTGTGTTTAAAATTTTTCTGTATAAAGGTTTCGTTAACATATGTCTGTGAACATATTGCCCGTGAACATGTTTTATGTGTAAAAGAAATTTTTTTACCCTGTGCATATGTAAAAATGTTTCTTTCTTGTAACATGCTGTTTGTTGTGTGTAAAATTTTGTATGTGTAACATGATGACAGTGTAATATAATCGTAAAAAGTAGACGTATCAAACAGGTTAAAACTATGTAAATTGTAAGCATTTCAAAGAAGATTACAGCTCAGTTATAGAGTAGACATCAAAAGCTATCCAAAAGTTCATGAGTGTATCACGTAGGAATGCGCAGTAGGCTTAATTGATAAACTTGTCAAATATTATTTATATTCTACACATGTTTTGAAAATTACTAAACACAAACGACGAAAAGAGAACTTTGTATAATGTAAACATTGTTGTATCATTTATTGTTTCTTTTGGGGCGAATTCTGCCTTAGTTACAAGTTGCTTTCTGGTAAAGTTGTGAATAAATATAACGCCGTTTATACAAACGCCTTATAATAAAAACCGGCAACGGGACGGTCCCTATGATAGATTCAATGTCCCAGTCTATGTCAGCTTTGACCAATTCATCTGAAAGAAGTAAAGAAGTTACACCTTGTAGTGCATATCTTTTTGGTCAATAAGCACATTTATTCCAATCCATGGGAAGTCATTTATACCGTTCATTCAAAGACGAGTGATTCAAATCAAATTTGCTTATTATGTTGTATTTAATTATCGTTAGTTTAAAACGATGTAAAGCAAGAAATTTACTAAGTTTTTTTTTCAGTCAAATGTGACGATGTTGGGCTATTGTTGACAAAAGCAGGTGGCCGTAAACAAAATTTGCACAAAAAACATTGCCCCGCACAGGGCTCAAACACAACACTAAGTGGATACGGATAGCTGATGTAGAGTGAATACCTTGCGTAATAATATATAGATCTAATTCAATAAATAATGTAGAGATCTAGTATAAATAATTCATAATACTAAAAATAATTCATAGTACTGGTATATGTTTATAGTTCTAACAAAATTGCTCATAATAATTAACAGTACATTTAACTAACCTTTGTAACAATATCCGTTAATAATACTATGTCCAGCATAGCACGTGCTACATAGACTGGTTGCCGGATCGCAGGGCCAAAAAAAGTCAAAAATAAAAATTTTTGGGACAAACCCCCCAATCAATCCGTCTTGTAAAATTTGGTTAAAATAAAAAAATAATTATATAATAATATATTAAATACAATGAAATGGGCAGAATATATTAATTTGATTTAATTTTAAAACCAGATTAATGATAAATAGCAGTACATTTTAATGCATTTTTTAAAATTTTAAAGCTTTTTTTCCGCCCCGCCAAAAATAATTGCGTTATGTGACGGGTCTATGATGGCGTTTGGGACGCTTTTTTGCGTCGCTTTCCCTGTCTTCATGCGCCTGTCTCTAGGCGGCACGCCAACGGGGGGTGTGCGGCGTTTTCGCATGTCAACCCGTTGGTGCTTATGCCCAAACCCTTCTTTTAACGAGCGACATGTGACATCGGCAAAACACACCTTTTGCGCTTTGTTGTGTTTGCTAGAGGGACAGCGCAAGACGAACGTATGACAACGGCCTTTGGGCGCTTTGTCGTTTGTCGCTAGGCCCAACTAGAGCCACCAAAGCGTACCAAATTATCAGCCATCTAGAATACGATGCGAAACAAGATATTTTCTTTTAAAAGAAGAAATATTTCGTTACTGTCAAACAAAGTATTTTGTTCCGATATGAATAACTATTTGTTCTACGGAACACCGTTTTATGCTTGGAATGGACAATAAAATTCAATTGTTATACAGTCAATACAACATTTAACTCTGCATCTTTTAAAGAATATATTAACTTACTATGGAACCAAAAAATGAATAGCCCTTTGTTGACCCGATAAAGCCAAATCGGGGCCAGCAAGCTACTAATCCCTATACAGTATAGCTCTTTATATAATTGCATTTGAAATCCTTTAAAACTTTGACCTATTCAAATATCCCGTTGTAAAAGGTGAAAATTTGCTACCTTGTCTCAAAAACCCATCAGGTAAAACCCCATAACCCTTAGCGAAAAAATTTACAAGAATTTTGGGTTCGGGGGCCCCAAATGTTCCCCTTACAGTTTCACGGATCACAATCCGCCAAAAACCCGTTGCAATAAATTTCCTATTTTAAAAAAGAACAAATTTTTCTAAAAATTTTCTCTAAACAGTGGCGCATTTGTTTCAAAATTTTATTTTCAAATTTATTTACAAAAAATTTATATTGCTTCACAACCCCTTTAAAAATTAAAAAATGTTTTGATAAAAACAAAAAGGGTATGTTATGTTTAAATTCTCACACTATGGGGTCAAATTAAAAATTTTGTTCATTAAAATAGTCGTTTTTTTAAGAAAAAGAACAATTTTATTTGACCTGTTTTTGGGGGAGAGCTTTTCCCAAATTGTTTAACTTCTTTAATCAAATGAGACATATTCAATAAGAATTTCATAAATTGCAAACAATGATTAAAATATTTTACTCAAGAATGCGCATAAAAATCTTAGGAAAATTAAATAGCTCTATCCCTTGTTTAATAAATGTGTTCACTAAAGTTATAAAGCATTTATACAGCTTATTTGATGTACATTCAATTAAAAATATATACTTAATAATATCATTACAAAATATTGAACATATTTAAACAATACCTTGTAGGCAGTATCCATTCACACTACGGTAGCCAGCCATAGTGCACGATATGCACGTGTTAAATTCTGCGTCACAACTACTCCCAGATTTCGTGCAGGATATTTCTTGACTACAAAATCCACCAATTGCTCCATCTAAATAAAAAGATTTTTAAGTTACATAGAACAGAACAGAACAGAACAACACCTTATTAACATAAATGTACGAGTTTAATAATATTCCTGCTGAATTTGTTGCACAGTTTTACTTTACTTTGAATTTGGTAAATTAGGAGCTGAAAGGATTCCACACTTAAATAAAATGAGTTCCCAACAGCAAAGGGCTTGGTCAGATCGCTGTTAGTTGTAGCAGAGAAAGGCTTAAAATATAAACGTTTTTCTTCACAGAAACGTAATGTGTAATAAAAAGAGTTTTTTTATAAACAAACTATTTTGCAAGGGACTAATTTCAGGACTTTTTTTAATTTCAATTCACTATACGAATATTCATACATTTGTAAAGCAAAACAGAAAACAAAGAAATATTGTTTCAATGCAAAAGGAAGTTTTAAAAATAATGAAAATAGTGATATATAGAGGACATTTGCCTGTCTCTAGCGAATATGGAATGTAATTCACTAAGAAATGAGAATATCAAAAATATTCAAAGGGTTGTTCACACTGCTAAAATTACCTTTTATACAAAATCCATTGATGATTCGATGTTGCCGTGTCTGACGACAATTAATGCACATGCTGGTGACGGGATCACATGCCAAATACGGAGTTTTTGTTGTATCGCACGGGATGTGCGTGTCACAATAACCATATACAGCTCCATCTGTGTCACATGGAATATTCAATTTATAATATATGACATAAATATGTTTCCATGACAAAATAGCATACTCAATATAAACCATTTTAAAACAAATTAGATACAGATAAGATTTTGACTTATTCTACATTGCAAGTGCGCGTGTTCAACTTTTCATTATCTCTCATAAGCAGACTCAATAAAACCGTGTCTGCAGGGTTTAACTATCTCATATAACTATTGTTATTACCCCTCACTTTTTTCGTAATGTTAATTTCCCATAGGCCTCTTGGGAGTTATTCTTACTTTTAATGCAAGTGTACCACGTGACTTAAAATTTTGTACTGTTACATAGGTAACAGTATTTTTAACAGTATAAAATCTGGTCACGTGGTCTATTTTCTAAATGAAATGAAATAAAATGGCCGCCATTTTTTTCTCTCGATTCATTCTTATTTTCGACGATAGAGCATCGCCGAAGTAACTATTACTCTCATAAAATTTAGTTCTTTGCACCCTTAAGTTCTTTTCGCGTATATATCTTTTTGTTGAATAGTCAAAAGTAAACATCCGTTTTCAACGGAAGTAATTGAAATGTGAATAATTTTGTGTCAAACTGGAACATGCAGACGATTAAAGCATGCAACAAAGGATTATTTAACAATTTTAACCAGTGAAACGTTACAGATAGAATTGGTGGACAGACATCTGTAGGATATCATCGTTATTTTCTAAATGCACTTTGTCAAAAACCATGCGAAGAATATTCTGTATGCAGAAGGATCAGATTTCATAGATCATAACCTGATAAATGGGTTAATGTTTTGTTTTCTGAATAAAACACAGCTAATTTTATGTTTATGACTGGTAGATTTCATCACTTACTAAAAGAATAAAAGAAAAAGAGCTTCTCAAGTAGGCCTACAGTACACTTAAAACTTTCAAGGTAAGGGAAGTTTAGTTATTGCTTCTCTTGGTTTATTTTTGTTACAGTTAGATTTAGTTGACAAATTCAGATCATCACAGTATTTGTTCGGGGTAATAAAATAAATAACACATGGGTTTGTGAGTAACAGTAAAAATATCATCCCTCGTAAAAATACTGTTACCCTCGGCTACGCCTCGGGTAACAGTATTTTCCTCGGGATGATATTTTTACTGTTACCCACAAACCCATGTGTTATTTATATATTGCTCTAGAAAGATTCCCCTTTTCCAAAATACATAACTTGAAAACTGCAGTGTAACTTCAAAAATTCCGAAAACTTCTGAAATCCGAAAAAAATTCAGGGTCCCAATGTTTCTTTTTCTGTTTTCTATGTCAGCAATACTTCTGAATTACGGAATCCTAAATTCTGAACTCTTAACGATTTTCTGATACCATTTAGAAAAAAAATCAATTAAGATTATATTCCAAATCCGGAAATTGAAAAATACATTTTTTATACCCAAGACTGCAAAAGCATTCAAAATCTCAGAATCTTAAATGGAAACCATTTATCTTAGCACCTGTTAGAATAGAATCGAGTGTATGACAAAAGCCCACCTGGATAGGACAAAAAAACAAAAATCCTCCCGGACAAGAGCCCTCCAGTCCAAAAATGAGAGAGCGGATAAAAGCCTTTATATAAAAATGAGAGGAAGGACAAAAGCCTTCCTGTGAACATTCAAAATTCCGGAATATTTTGCTAGTCCCACAGGTGTTTGGATTTCAGAAGTTACACAGTATACAAAACGCATACAACGTCCAAAGGGAGGAAACTGTTTGACAAGACACAACCTTTTTCGCATACGCCTTCTAATATCCGGTATCCACTTGGACAGAGTAGACATCTGTCAGTATCCGGCTCACACCAGGCACCGGGGTCAACACATACTGTCAGACCATCACAATAGGCACCCAACAGTCCGTCTAAAAGAAAAAAAGAAATAAATCTAAGGGCTGTTAGCTCTGTTGTATTTTCTGATCTTTGCAATCTAAATCGTACTGAATATCTGTATGTATTTTCCTGTATAAGTTTATTTTTATATACTTTAATTCATCTTGCAGCGCACCGAGATGCAGCGACTGCATTTAGATTTTTTGCTATAACAGTTTGAGTTTGATACATACGGACTTTGCATGACCAGGGTTTCTAACTTGCATTATGAAACCATTTATGTACATTTTTTATGACAGCAACACTTTATGCTCGCATATCGTGGCTTATCCCTTAAAAGAATGTTAAAATCGCTAAAAAGACACTTAAAACAAAATAAAAAAATACTTGAATTGAAACCCAGACCTCTCACTTCCTAAACGAGCATGTTACCCCTGGACCACGGGAAGTTAGTTATTTGAGCAAATCAAATGATTCTATATTTAGCGTTTTCATGATTAATTTCGAGAAATTTTGTTGTTTTACACTGATGTAAACAATTCAGTGAAAATCTTCTCGTTGACCTTATCTCATAAAGAACAGAAACTAATTTGTCATTGATTTTATCTTGTTTACAGATTCTGTCATTGACCTTACCTTGTTTACAGATTCTGTCGTTTACCTTATCTTGTTTACAGATTCTATCGTTGACCTTATCTTTTTTTCAGATTCTGTCGTTGACCTTACAGATTATGTCGTTGACCTTACCTTGTTTACATATTCTGTTTTGACATTAACTTGTTTACATATTCTTTTTTGACATTACCTTGTTTACAGATTCTGTCATTGACCTTACCTTGTTTACAGATACTGCCGTCGACTTTACTTTGTTAACAAATTCAGTGGTCGACCTTACGTAGTTTACAAAATCTGTCGTTGACTTTAACTTGTTCACAAATTCTGTCGTTGACCTTAACTTGTTTACAGATTCTGTCGTTGACCTAACCTTGTTTACAGCTACTGTCGTTGACATTACCTTGTTTACAGATTCTGTCACCGACCTGACATTGTTTACAGATTTTGTCGCAGATCATATGCTGTTAACAGATCCCGTCGTCGACCATTTTTACAGCAGATTTTGTCTTTGACCTTACCTTGTTTACAGAATCCGTCGATCGCATGATATCCATCAGAACAAGTTTCACATGTATTGTCGGCGTTACACCAGGCATTCTCCACTTGACATGGTATGTCAGTATTGCAATAACCGTAGCCATCTTGAAATAATGAGTATTATAATATCATCATGGAAAGGACTGGTAAATTCATTGTGAGAAAACTCAGTGGAAAATTAAAACAATTATTATCTATAAATATAGCAAAGTTGATTATAAAAAAGATATGATTTACAAAATATTAGTCAAACAAACCGCCGTGCTTACAAATGAGATTAAATGAAGGTCAACATTGAATACACAAGTCATTTTGGAAACCTGTCCATAACGTAGAAACTAGCTTCAGAAATCAAAGGCTTGAAAAGTGTTTCATGTCATGTTTGAATGTTTAAGGGGGGGGGGGGGGGGGGTTGCATGAACGGTAGCTAGCATTTACCACTACCGTCCATGAACTGGCACAGTCAAACCGAGCCTGCAAAATTTTCAATTATGCTGTTTTGATGTCCTTTCTAGGGATGGCGTTTCCCTCTTTTAATCAAAATTCTTCATCTTCAGGTTTTATGCTCTACAATCCGAAATAAGTCGATATTTGCCGATTCATTAGGGAATAACTGTTAGCTTACCTTTCACACACATATTGTTGATAACCCTGTGTTCAGCAAGTGTACAGTTTACACATATATTGTAGCTAAGAAGACAGTTTGTACCGTCACCACATTGTATATTTTTATCACAATGACCTCCTAGGATTCCATCTTAAACAAACAAAACAAACTTGTTCATGTATGGTACAAATAAGACAAAAAAAATCAACAACGAAACTTAAATAATTATTTCAATATGATGTGAACTAATTCGTCGGATAGAAGAAACATCACTTTTATTCTATCTGGGATATTCCACATATTCCGACATATTGACACATTGCATTAACTTATTCCACCCGACATATTGATACATATTACAACGGAACATTCCACCTAACATATTCCACCTTACAAATTCAATGGACATATTCCACTAACATATTCCACCAGACATATTCCAACATGACATATACCACCTGACATATTCCACTAACATATTCCACCAGACATATTCCACCAGACATATTTCAACATGACATATTCCACCAGACATATTTCAACATGACATATTCCACCATATATATTTCAACATGACATATTCCACCAGACATATTCCACCAGACATATTTCAACATGACATATTCCACCATATATATTTCAACATGACATATTCCACTAACATATTCCACCAGACATATTCCACCAGACATATTTCAACATGACATATTCCACCATATATATTTCAACATGACATATTCCACCAGACATATTTCAACATGACATATTTCAACATGACATATTCCACCATATATATTTCAACATGACATATTCCACTAACATATTCCACCAGACATATTTCAACATGACATATTCCACCAGACATATTTCAACATGACATATTTCAACGTGACATTTTTCACACTATCTGACATATCCCACCCTACACATCTAACACGATATATTCCACACCAACTTGACCATCATTCAGTGTAAGATGCAGAAACTTACCTTTAGGCGTACCATCAGCTGGATCGGTCACTGTTCCATGTAGAATAAGTTCCCAACTGTATAAGGTCATCTCTTAAAGTAAATGAAACCGATTCAATAACAATTCAATGAAGTTTTAATATAAATTGTGTTGCTATTGACCTAATCAACATGAATTATGTCGGTGTTGACATATAATACTGTTGGCCGGAGCTGAAAGGTGATTGTTGGCGATAGTAATATTAAATTATAAAAAACTATCGAGCGAATCGAAATTGGCCGTTGTGAGGAGATGGCTGTTGGTGAGAGGTGGCCGTTGGGGATTGTTGCACTGTAATTAACAAAATATATACCGTAATTGACATAATCCACGTAATCTTTGCATGACATAAACAACACTAACTTTGGTTTTACTGATAGAATAAGCATAAAAGTTCTTGTTATGACTGGGGAGGGAATAAACTTTTTCATTCTTTATACACGGTAAACACGAGTTTTATAACGTTTAAATAATGGTTTTAGAGCATGTTAGATGCATTTGATTTGAAAAAAGTAGCACTGGAATTGAAATTATTTGTCATTGAAGTAGCAGAATGTAAACAAAGTAGTATTTTGATTTCCATACAAAATACAATACAAAATCTCAAAAATAGTACTGATTTCCAAAAAAAAAGCAACATAGCAAAAGATGGTTGATAAAAAATTGTTAGCGACATGATATGGCACGTGCGTCACAAACAAATGACGTCATCATTGCCATCAAATGCTTACCATTATCACAGTTGAGAAAATCCTCTAATCGTACAGTCCAGTCGCCTTTAGGATTTTCTCCCCACGTATGAACGGACATAAATGTCCAAGAAAATCGACCAGTAGCGTAGTCTTGTTTCCTCTGGCGTAGAATCCTCGTGTCCGTGCCTTGAGGTGAAACGATATGTATTTCTGTATGTTCTCTCCAGTACGCCTCGCACGAGACATAAATTTGCACGTGCTCGAGGTGCTGTATAGGACAATCATCGACAAAATACGTCGAGTTCACATTTCTAGTGCAGCATCTGAAGATAAGAATGTGATAAGATTAAACCCCTGAAGATGAGCGTACATGTAATAAACGGTTTTGTTTTGTTGCATACATAGTAATTCATCACTTTTGCCTATGCAAGCCATCTGCTTGGCATCTCCTTTTGGCTAAAAACTTAAAAGATGTTAAAAAACCTAACTAGGACTGTAAACACGAGTTTGTAAAACAAAAATATCCGTAAAGAACGCACAAAACGGGAAAATTGGAAATGCTGAACCAGAGGTGGATATCGGATTACTTTCAAATAATCAAATTCGAATTACACTAAATATGAAAATAAACAGTGTTTGTTTCATAAACCCCGTTTGTGAAAAGTATACACAATATTATTTCAAAATAAATACATTTGAATTTTTCTTTGAAATTAAAGCATTGAGAATATATTTGCGGCGCCGTATAAGTAATTTATCGCAACGACGCCAAATGTCGCTATTGCCGCTAAATGTCGCAACCGCCGCTAAAGTTCTCAAAATATTTTGACATTAAATGTCACAACACTACCGTTAAATATCGCAATATCTAAATTCAGGATCCATGCTGTTCGCTTACCCACACCTATTACAAGAAGAGAAACTGATAGTGAACAACATGGGTCCTGATCAGACTGCGCGAAAGCGCAGGCTGGTCTGGATCCATGCTGGTCGCAAATGCACTATATTGATTTTGTCGTGACGCGACTAATAGAGAATAACATGCTACTGTCTTTTGATATCAATTTTATCAGGCAAGGCTGATATGGGCTAGAAAGGGCGAGGCTTGCCGAGCCCTTTCTGCCCATATCAGCCGAGCCTGATAAAATTGATATCAAAAGACAGTAGCATGTTTTTCTATTTGTCATGTAACACATAAAAACTGTCAAAATAACAAAATAATCTACTTTAAAATAGCGAAATTCGTAAAACAAGGGGATTATTGTTCAAAGAAATAATTCTTGAAAACAAATTCCTCCGCCCCTGAAACTTAGAATTTGTAAATGGCGGCCATTTTTTCTTTCGACTCGGATAAAAGATACAACAGAATGTAGGCCTAACACGATAAAATTCTTACCTTTAATCTAAACTTCGATCCAAAAATTCCCTTAGAATCACATTTATAAACTTTACTGCACTTTTTGTCTTGAATTGACAAATTCAAAAGTTCACAATAATTTCAATCAAACAAAAGTCAAATCGGCAATCAAACACACGCTACACAAACATGCGTTTTATTTTTTAAACGAAACAATTTGTTCACGTATTAAATAATCCGGCGAAATAGGTAAACATTCACAAGTTCTCAAATAAAATCATCTAGCCTGTTTGTTATGATTACATGTACAATATAGTATGACGTGAACATTGATGATGTCATTTGCAATATAAATTATGACGTCACTTCATGTAGTTGGTGCTAAAACTATTCGCTATCTATTTATTCGTAATTGAAATCGAAATCGAAATGATAAATAAATAAATATCGCATCTTGATTGAAGACTTGTAAGGGTATGAGATTACATTGAAGAATTCACATACTGATAAAAATGAGAATATAAGCAATTGAAAAAAGTCCGTTAAAATGGGCGTGGCTTATTTTTGATATCAGGTTACTGACCTGATATCAAAAATAATTATCAGGCAAGTGTTATCGGGCAGTTACCATGGCAGTTGCATGATAAAATGCTGTATTTGGCCTTCTCTATTACAAGACGGATGAGCCGGATATAGAGATACAATGCGTACAAAAATGCCCCTAGGTGAATATTTGCAAACAGAGTGTGAAATTATCTCCCGTATTTAATGGATATAATACGTTTCTGAACGTTTATGATTTGCAAAATTAGGTAATTCTATTATTTACTTAGAAGGAAAAGTAGAAAAACTCAAAATTTTCCATGAAATTATATACGATGACTTTAAAAATTTCATAGCCAAAATAAAATGACGAAAACTGATTCCCGCTTGGTTTGCATTACTATCGTGGTTTATTAACCATTTCTGGACATGCACGTGGATATTAGCCTCCCTATCACACAGGGAATGGATTAATTTTAAAGTCTGCCCTTTTAACAGGGCGAACAAGATTTTGTTTCTTTCTTTTATGAGAAAGGGAAACCAGTGATGCGTGTATGTGGTCGCACGGTCACTTTCCTTACAAAATTTCCTCGATGCATGTATGTGGTCGCATGGTCGAACTCTCATTTAAAGTTAATTTGTCAAGAATGCAAAATCTTTTAAGTTTCAGTTTTTTAAAAGTTTTGTGAAACTTATTAAAAATAATGTTATAAATAATAAGAATTTGTAACAACCTAATAACACTTCCTTTAAAAAGAATGAAATTCCTAATAAGGCTTTTAATTAGGATTTATAAAAGCCTAAAAGAATGTCGATACTAATAATAAAACACATTTTTTTCTCTTAATGATCCCAGTAACAAATTTGCTCTTGATGAAATCGTAAATAGGACTTTGTAACGATGAGCAGTATCTGATTCAAAAATAGTTTAAGTGCATGGTTCTACTCCGGTTCACGGAGCGTGTATAGCTGAGTGGTTAAGGTCGTTTGCCCCTTACCGCTGTTGGTATACTATATACAAATCCCAAATACCGACAGGGATTTTGTATTGTAAAAAAGATATTCAGCTAGCTTAAGGAACATCGGTGGTTTTACTCGGGTGCCTGCCTATTTGTGCAGTTTAAAGCACGAAAAGGCAACTGAGATTTCCTGTCGAACCTCGCCGTACGACTTATACTGTGTTTAAGACACAAATTTAGGTCCACGTTCGTGCACTTTGTGCTATTCGTGTTTTCGCCCGGCGACCCGCCAAGCGAAAAGTCCAGAATTAACAAGTTAAAATGGTGGGGCGCGAGACATTTTATTTATTGAACTGCGGCCGCCTTCCCCACCCGCTCATAAGCGTGTTTTCGTACCGCGACCTAGCCGTTTTATTTCTTAAATCTTGCTCGTCCCCGTGGGACGAAGTTTTAATTATTTTTAACGTCGCCTTAGCTAATTAGTGTGTTTCGCTCCGCGACCCCGCCATTTTATCTTGTTAATTTACGACTTTTCGCTTAGCAGGGTCGCGGGACGACAACACGAATGGCACAAATCAGCCACCTTACAAAGGGGCATCTGAATATTCCTACAAAATCGCTATATGACTGATTGTGTTACAGTGACGTATCTAAATGAAAAAAAAGTTCTTAGTCGTTCATTATAAAGGTTTTAAAAGCTCGCTTTTATCAGTATAAGAAGAAGAAGAAATAGTTTGAAACCTCTAAATGTAATGAAAGTGTTTATGTAATGATTTTATCAGATCATTACAAATTACAATAGTTTTATATCTTACTTGTTCACTTGTATTCTTCCGCTATTACACGTCATCTTGCTTGGGACTCCTTTCCACTTAGTAGCCTTTTGGACCAACCCTTTAGCATTCATCATTCCGAAACCCAGTCCATAACTTACTACAAAGAATCCGTGTTAAAAACTTTAATTAACCTGATTTAAAGGGACTCCACTGAGGTCTAAAAGATTTAAACTGTCAGCTATGCAAAGATAGTTAAAGAAATATACTTAGAAATAAATTTAAAATCGTATTTTTATGCTTTCCTAGTCGAAATTTTCGATGCTTTTCAATTTGGATTCATTTTAAACAATTTGAATATGTTTTTCTTGATAAACGGAATGAGCGAATGATCTGAAATTTCGCACAAAGATTATTTGTCTAGATAGATGTCAAATGGAACATTAATCTCGAAATAATATTTCCGGTCAAAATCCTTTAGATCGAGATCATTTAACGCAAATCTTTATGGTTTTATATCATAATTAAAATGCTCAAATAAAGATTTATCAATATTGTAAATTCCAAAAAGCATTATCTGAAACGATATTACCGAATTTAAATTTAATGTTAATAAAGGGAGGTAATTGGAAGTTTATTTTCTATAAAGTCTTAAGCTAATTTTTTCAATTAAAAATGAATGCATTTATTTTAATGATTACATATAATGTAGCAAAATATATTTGAAGTACATATTTTACATATTTTTCGATGTTTGAAAATTGTTTTAGAAGCATAATTATATACATATATAAAATTTCACCTAAGTGTGGTTATAACATACAGGATCTGTAATGTAGAAATTAAAGACTAGGATGGTTATGGAATCAATTGTGGTACAAAATGTGCGTATCTGTTTTACATAATATCTAATCACGTAATGTTCAAGTCTAATGAATATTCTTTTGTGTACTGTTTTTGCCAGCTGCGTTTGTGTAGAAATTTCCCCTAGGTATATCTGTAGATATGGAAGTTTCTGCTAATAAATGCTGTACATCTCGCCAAGTTAGATCGGGACTGAAAGATTTAAAATATGTAACATTTTCTCAAATACCGATACAGATGAAACGCTTGTAAACTTTAATGTATTGATAATACATGTACATGTATTCGATCTATACGCTAGAGGATGAAATCTGTTATTCAAATCTTACAATATAATCTTTTTTTTATAATAACACCCCAGTAGGACCTCATAAAGAGTGAAGGGGAAGTTACCAGGGGAGACAACTTAACCGGAATGTGTTGTATATAAAGCACCACAATATTTTGGAAGGTCTTTCTTTCGTGGCTCACCTTACAAGAGGTAGACTATTTTAACAAAATCTAAATTTTACATTTACAATCTAAACCCACCCGTTAAATTTCAAAGTGTTTTTGTTTGTGGTTTGCTGTCCTCGCTTTTTTTATAATACTTGCTGTAACAGATCTTGGTATCTTTATCCTGAAAATTTGATCACCGGAAGTAAAAACAAAACAAAAGCTTATCTAAGATAAACTAGATTTTACACTTACTTTGCTTGTAAAGCAAGGGCTATAACTCCTGTTGCCACAGAGCTGGCTGCAGCACCGCCTCCATAGTTATCTATACAAGTGTCATTGATGTATGTTGTTGCCTGTATCAAAATTCGTACCAAATAAATTGAAAATTGTTTTCTTACGGTAACAGACCATAATAAGCATGTATACGAGCAGCCATATTGGTATTTTCTCGGGAAATGACGTCACAGTGAAAAACACCCATTTATGTGACAAGAATTTAATTTAACTAAAATACGAATAAACAAAACTGTATTAAGGTGTCATGTAAGGCACATATAAGGTGGATATAACTGCCGAAAGAAGGCAATGGCACCTTAAGGTTTATATTGCTTTTTGTTTTAACATTAATTCTTACTATTATATATGAAAGTAATTTTAAATAAGTTTAAGATATAAGTTGATTTGACCATCAAATTATGGTAACCAAAAAGTAGGACGGATTTGACATAGTTTACTACTTAAAATGTGTAACTATTATAACAAGCATGTTTGTTTTTTTTCCCCATTAAATCATCGTTTATGAAAATAAAATTTTATTACCAATGAAAATCCTATGTAGTACAAGGACTTTGTATGCATTCACAGGTGCTTGAAAAAACTCTTTTTTTATGTTATATATGGGCTATTTTTAATATTATAAGATATCTTTATATACAATATGTAGGCCGATTATGTAAAATATTTGATTATGTGACTAGCGCCTGTGTGTGCATTCGTCAATAATTAAAATTATATGAATTCCCAGTGTTTATAATGTACAACTGGAATTGTTATATCGGTAGATAAAAAATGTAATGTCTAATACCAGGTACTTCTTTGTCCCATTATAATAATCCTCGCCGGCATAGGCAGCAGTTATCACGCATGCGCATTCCTCGGCGTAAACTGCCGGGCCTCCGTCCGGTGCTAAGGGGGAAACACTTATTGTATATATACTGTTTACTTGCTCCACTGTATTGCAATCATCAAGAAGCTCCCCGTCATTTCCAGAACCAAATATAAATATAGCACCTTTCCCATGGCGACCCTTAAATTGTAAAATCTTGTTTTATTATTATTACTTCCATATAAACGATTTTTGCGGTATTTGAACATTGGAATCATTTTCCTTTAAGTAGTCATAATATGAAAAGGAAATTGTTTGAATTTTTAATTTGCTGATTACCTGTTGTGGAAAGATTAATGTTTATTAAGTCTTTTACTTGAGTTCACTTTCCAATTATACTTTCCAGAATTCCTCCTCTACGATATATCATACACTGCATTTAATTTCCGTTTCCGGTTTAAAGGCACATTTAGCCTCGGAAATGAACACAGTTTTTTTTATCTTTTGAAAATTGCAAATCTCAGTTTTAAAATGTATATAAAAGTATGGTTCAGCAAATGAGTATATTTTTTTAATCTTATAAATACACTAGAAATAATAAGTTTAAAAAATGAAAATAAATGCTGATTTTAGGACTTATTTGGCCTTTAAAGCAATTTGAAAGCTAATATCACAGACGTCATTAAACCTTAAACATGGCAATTTTCTAAAAACAAACACACTAAGACAGCCATTACTGACAAAATAAAAAAAAACAACAACAAACGAACTTCTGTGACACTTTTAACCAATGCGGATCTTGGAAGCTGTTCCAATGGGTAAAATCCACCTCCCTGGTTCACACCAATGCCTATCCCATGACTGCGTATGTCTATTTCATTCAGCTTGTACGTCCATGCATTTGCTAACCTGGCATCGGTTACACCGAATAATTTAGTCAAAACTCGAATAACTGCAAATGGACAGATTCCGGAAACATCCTTAAAATATCTGGTTAGTATGGGCATTTATATAATAAGTAATATACTGATGTTTCGAGACTAGTTGATTATCTTCTGTATATATTTAATAGATCATGTATCAGCAACATCCATTTTTTTAAATTTGTTACCACGTATACTAATATAACTGTTTATGGTTTAACAGACCTTCCATCAAGGACCATTTCAAATCAACTTATTTATATTTCGAACGTTATCCTTTATATTTACAACAAGGATCTTGCACCGACTGCCGAAAATAAGCTACTATAAATAAAAGTGCTAAATGAATATACATGTATATGTTTTCGTAATTTCTTTTCGAAATATGATTTCTTTGCCGTTTTAGACCGGAATATCTAGCTCTTTGATAACTGTTTAACGGACACTCGACAGAGCCTCGTTTCCGCCGTAAACAGTTATCCTCGAGCTAGGCCTTCCGGTCTGTGCCGGCATCCAGTGTAAAATTCTTATAGTCTGATAGTCACACGCACCTGCAAAAGAAACGTCATACGCAATTCCGGTGACGCAATGGTCGTTCTTGGCGGCAGCAATAATTCCCGCAGATCTAGTACTGTGACTGAAAAGTAGATAAAGAACATAACTGTGAATATATCAACTTCAGATCGGAAGAGTTGGTGATGAAAATGTATATCAAATGTTACATATTAATTAAAAAAGTATCAACAGGTTGATCATACTATTTAAATAATTCGTGTTTTGTACTGTTTTGTGATTATACATTCAAAATTTCTCTAAAAAAAGATAAAAAAAATAAGACTGAAAAAAAAAAGGAATCATATTGTCATATTGTCATGAAGTTTAGCTATCAACGGTGAGCAGTAATTGAGGAGTGTTCAAAAATTGAAGCTAAAACACAAGTTACAAAATTTGACATTTGCGAATAGACTGCAAAACTGATTAAATTCGCTCTTATGAGACAACACAGAAACAAAAACAAGATTACCACTAGATTTCTATGTTGTGAGAAGATTTGGGTCACAAGAATCAGTTATTTTAAACGACGTTTGGCATACACAATGAATTTGAAATTGGGCCGAAAACGTAGATTCTAAAAAAAATGAGTTTGAAATCTTACTCGTCATTCGGTGCATCATAACTGACGTCAGACTCGTCATCAACAAAGTCATAACTCAGAGATGGCTTCTGAATAAAAACAATAATTACAATTGATTATAACGTACGCATATGAAATACCGGCATAAAGGTATCATTATTTTACCATTTCATTAATAACTTCAAAATAGAATACTACAATTATAGGCGTTTTAAGTATAAGAACAACATATAATAACAATGTTCAAAATTGATTATTTGGCGGGGGTGGGGGAGGTGGAGAGTCGGGGTATTTGGAATTGCATTTTTTATGCATAATGTATATTAGACATCCAAGTGAGAATCAGGTTTAAGCAAGGAAATTCAATAGGGACTTACAAAATTACCAACAAGATCATATTGATCTGTGTCTAGTCCGTCACCGACTAGAGCTACCACAACACCCTTTCCGGTGTATCCCATCTCCCATGCTTCATACACTCCCATTGATGGATACTGATCTTTGTGCTACAAAATACATTAATCAATACATTACAAATACATTTTATAGTTTAATAGTGTATTGTCTCATTCCAAGCATGTCATATATACAATATATCACAATGTTCAATCATATTAAAAAACATGTTGGTCCAATCTCGATAGATTTATAAGAGACATTTAAAAACATGATGATACTGGTAAAATATATTCTATAGCTAAAAACCAATTTACAAAAATGTACTTTATAACCAGGTTACATGTATATATAGCAGACATTTTTGTTTATTCCTTCATGAAAAAACAATATACTTCAAAAAATAATGCCCAGAATATTTGTGACAATACTACTGCAATTTACTTGTTATGTGAGTGAGGCTAAATATGTTCATACAAAAGCGTAAGTTTAGTGCAGCATACATGTACCGTACCCAGCATTGCTGTATAATTCTCATTATTCAGTAAAAGAGTAATCATGTTCCAAATGAATGCATATATCATGGAGTATAAGGTTGTAACCCAAAAAGCACTTGACTGTGAAAGGTGTGTGACCTAATATATTCGAATAAGTACATGATTATGCTAAATGTGTGATCCAATAAGTACATGATTAAACATGGTGTGTGACCCAAGGTACAAAATTCAGCATGATGTGTGATCCAATAAGTACATGATTGAACATGGTATGTGTCCTAATAAGTACAAGATTGTACATGATGCATAACCAAATAAGTACATGGTAGAACATGGTGCGTGAAAGGCCATTATTCTGCACTACCTTAAATGACAGTATAATGAATAATATTAACAATAATTGCTTGGTTGGATATATTTGACTGTATAGGGTGATCGCCTTCCAGCATGATACATTTGTGTGCCAGTGTAGATAACATTAGTAGGGTACAAACAAACTGCACTAAACTCAGCCTAAAAATCAACCATTTAAATCAAGCCTATACACAATATGTCTTCATATTCAATATCGATACACTGTGGCAATGTACTGCTATATCATTGCCACAATTAAATCTTCCTTCACAACCAAAATAAAACAAAAATATCTGTTTTACATCTTCAATTATAAAATATAAAACTAATTGCTGTTAAAAAATATGTACTATGTACACTTCTATTATTACATTTCTACTACTTTAATAAAGGATTAAAACATCCTATTTACACATAAACACATTCCTTCTTTGTAGTATCTGGAAGCAGGTTTTGGCACTAACTCTTATTACATTAGTATTACTAAATATAACTTTTAATTTCTCATCACTTTTCAGGTCAATAAAATTGTTAACAGCAACTGCAGCTTGTTCAAAAAGTACATTTCTTAAATCATTGTATAACTGACATTCTAGGATTACATGAGTTTCATCCTCTACCACATGACAAAATGGACATAGACGTCTATCTACCTGGAGATTTTCAAATCTTCCGGTTTCTATACGAATTGGTGCTACACCACATCTAAATTTGCTAAAAGCTGATCTGTGGCTAACAGGCAAAATCATTGTACAAAAAGGTTCAACACAATATTTTTCTTTAAATATACAATATGTCCGTAATTTATTCCGGCCTCTACCTGATGAGCCCGTCGGTGCATTAATTTTATCAAACCACTCTGTTTTAAACTTAGCAAACATACGTTCTTCTACAGCTTTAACAATATCATTCTTGGATATAGGCATGGATATATCATTATATATTGAAAGGTCTAACTCATTCAACTGTTTACGAACCCAAAAATACCAGTTTTTACATTTGTTTGACTTACAGGAGGCCCAGAGCGCAATTTGCTTATTTATTCTTGTAGTATTGGTACATGAGAGACGGGCCCAAAAATTGACTAATGACTTCCATTGTCGTACATGTGGCGGCACCCATCCCATATCACCAGAAACAGCTGCTGTTGGTGTGTATTTCCCCAACACCAAGAAAAAAACCTCATTGCCCGATGTTGCACTGCTGCAATACAGGAGTAATTTTTATGACCCCATATAGCAGCTCCGTAGGCAATAACCGGCCATACAACAGAGTCATATAATTTGGTAAAACCTCATAAGGCAAACCACCAATAACCTTGCATTTGCACTTGCATAAGTAGACCTAAGGCACGACTAGCGCTCTGAGCCACCATTTTAGCTGTTATACTAAAATCTAAATACTCATTTATTAACAATCCCAGATATGTATATTTGTCAGAATAAGAAATAATATGTTCACCACAACTAAATTCATGTTCTGATCGTGGCATAGACTCTGTTCGGAAGAGCATGACATTACATTTATCAGGATTAATACTCATATCATTTCGACCACACAAGTCATTCAATGCATTTAACAATAATTGTAGAGCATCTTCACTATCTGCCAGTAGAACGATATCATCTGCATATAGTAAAATGCATATCTTTTCTTCTCCAATATTCACACCCACATTAAATGACTTTAGATAGACAGCAAGGTCATTAACATATAAATTAAATAACAGAGGTGATAAAATACATCCTTGTCTTAAACCACATTTAACATCAAACCAGTCTGTTTCACAGATTTTTTGGAGTTTTTTACATAAAATAGTTGTTAAATACAACTTTTCTTGTATTTTTACGCAGTTCGAGTTAAAGCTTTCATCTTTTAATAATTGGCATATGACATAATTAAATAATTGTGCGTATATTGATATAAAAATAGATGAAATCAATTACAGATTAGATATAACAGCCATTGAAATTACAAATACAATAATTTGAGCCGCGTCACGACAAAAACAACATAATGGGTTGGCGACCAGCATGGATCCAGACTAGCATGAGCATTCGCGCAGTCTGATCAGGATCCATGTTGTTCGCTTATCAACTCAACTACAAGTGGAGAAACTGACAGCGAACAGCATGGATCCTGATCAGACTGCGCGGATGCGCAGACTGGTCTCGATCCATGTTGGTCGCAAACGCACTATATGTTGGTTTTGTTGTGTCGCGGCTCATATTATGTTCCTTTGATATGAATGTAACTCTAATAAGAATAAATTCAAAATTATCATTTTCATACATATATGTTGAATTATGTTTAAGACGGTGCTAGAGGGCACAGAGGGAATCTAGCATTTACCACTATCGCCCATGAACAGACTCAATAAAATCCAGACTTCAGCATTTGAATTTTCTCTGTGTTGTTTAGACTCCTATTTATCTAAATGTATTTTATAGTTTGAACTGGTTAGATTATTTTGTGCTGCAGATAAAAATTGATTAGTTTTTCATTTTGTCGTTTTAATTTTTAACTATTTCAGTCACATCCCTTTTCACTGAGCAGTATTTAACCAGAAAATGCACTGTTATTTTGAATAATATTTTTCCAAACACGAATGACACTTTGAATTCAACTGTGTTTTCAGTGTCTGTTTAAGTAAATCAATTCAAAGTTTTGTAGTCTGTTTAGTTAATATTGGTTGACAAATTGTATCTAAAAACAATATGTATGTTTTGTAAATACATATATTTTTTTATTTATTTTGACCTCAAGTTATCTTTTATCGTACATAGTCAAATTGAACTAAACGTTTTTAAATGTAAATGGTATTCACCGATTTCGTTTTTATGTGTAATTTCGGATTTAGCTTATATAATCACATGATATATTGATTAAAATAGAGTAAGTAGAAACTTAACAGTATTTGTAATTTATTTACATAGTTCCATTTTTATTATTAAAATAAATAATTCTAAAAAGATACTACAGGAAACTCCGCTCATAAAGATATTCAGGAGACCGCCGAATTTATATCGGTATATCCGGACATCGTTATATCCGAGAGGCAACCAATTTAAAAACAAGAGTAAACTGCGCCAACAGCATCGTTATAAGCGGTATATCGGTATAAGCGTTTCAACGTTATAAGCGATATCGATATAAGTGAATTTTACTGTAGTATTTAAACTTGCATTTTACTTACCAGATGCCATTGCATAGACCATAGCGGATTGTTAACAGTCAAATTTACAGCCTTTTCTGTATTTGAATATCTCTCCATAAGTGACGTCTTTGCTGTCGTTTCCGCTGGTTTCTCAGCCAACGATTTTATCTTTTTCAACTTTAAACGTTTCCTTTCTGATGATTCATCATTTTTGCAATGATTATAGTCCGCAATGAAAACAAAACATATAAAATTAAAAACAAACAAACGCTTCATTTTAAGTTTGTAATCTGCATTAAAAAATAAATAAAGACAATAGATATGTCTTCCAGTTTTCAATTCACAATAAAATTGGTCTGTTCAGAAACTACATGTTAAACTTTGTAAAGACAACATTTATCCTATCGTGTTAAAACAAGCGGGCTGTCGATCAAGTCCTTGTATTGGTTGTTACAACATGTGAACCGATTTTCCCCGGCTGTTTGGAAAAACAATCAACATGATTTTATAAGATATCAAATTTAATTGAAAAGTGGCTACTTTATTATCATTATCATTTTGCAATTATTTTACTTTTACTTCATTCGTTTCATTAAACACACCTAAAAGAAATGGGAAGTTCGGAATATTCTGAATTAGACACTGGATTAATCTCTCAAATTGAATTCTTTCTGCAGTATAATGTTGCAATTGATATCTAATATGTAAACTCTCTTGTGGTTAATTAGATGGGCGCTTGTTCTGTAAAACGAAACCCAAGTAAAAAAAGATATTTTTTAAAATTTGTTGATGAAAGAGGGTTTTTCAATTGTATGAGATTGAAAAGTGACAGCATATTTGGTTTTAATGTTTTCTTTAATACAACGAGTAAAAGTCATCACTTTATCATAGATAACTACAAACGGAAGGTTACTATCGTGTTTTTCTTTAAAACATCTAAGTAATTCATTGCGTACGCCATCTTTCTGTCTCAGACGCTAACAAAGGACTTCTATTTCGTTTGAATACGATTCAAAATTTAACAATGTTTCTAAGATTATGCTTGTTGTCTTCGTTAACGTTGTTTACAATTATGCCGAATACTAATGCAGAGGAAAGATCTGGGACACATACGCTGTCCAAAACCGAAAAATTGAAGAAAGCCGAATCATTACAAACAATGCAAGAAACTACCGAAAAGGAACACACCCATAGATACGTGATGTATTACAAAGGTGAGGACAAAGCGGCAAAGGCTCTTGGCAAAACATACGGACTGGAGTATATTAAAACGGTTTGTCATATATCAAAATCTTGTTTCATCTGATTATATTATTTGTTTCTTCTGACTTCAGACGAGATATTTAATGTAACCTTACCATAATTTGTTCCACTTTGTTTCGAAGTATCGAATAAAAGATTTGCCAAAAAAGTGTTAAGCCGGTCATAATTAAAAATCATAAATCACGTACGTTGTGTTTCCAGGTCTGCAAAGAGCATTTTACCTTCAAAGATAGTCTTTCTCGGACTCCAACAGAAATCGAAGAAGTAGTTAAAACAATGAAAGGCAAAGACACTAAGGTAATGATTATATACCTGAATTAAGAAAAATCAGGTTTGGTCTAAAAGGACAACCTGTAGTAACAACCTGTTTCTGAACACAGTGTACATTGTTTTATCAGCATAACATAACGTATTATGTCTAACATATCATCAAATAAAATAGATTTATTACAATATTATACCATGAACTAATTATTAAATAGATTTATTACAATATTATACCATGAACTAATTATTAAATAGATTTATTACAATATTATACCATGAACTAATTATTAAATAGATTTATTACAATATTATACCATGAACTAATTATTAAATAGATTTATTACAATATTATACCATGAACTAATTATTAAATAGATTTATTACAATATTATACCATGAACTAATTATTAAATAGATTTATTACAATATTATACCATGAACTAATTATTGAATAAATTTATTACAATATCATACCATGAACTAATTATTAAATAGATTTATTACAATATCATACCATGAACTAATTATTAAATAAATTTATTACAATATTATACCATGAACTAATTATTAAATAGATTTATTACAATATTATACCATGAACTAATTATTAAATAGATTTATTACAATATTATACCATGAACTAATTATTAAATAAATTTATTACAATATTATACCATGATTTTATTATTAAATAAATTTATTACAATATTATACCATGATTTTATTATTAAATAAATTTATTACAATATTATACCATGAACTAATTATTAAATAAAATTATTACAATATTATATTATGATCTCATTATTGTAACTTATGTTTTAGACCGTATACAATTCGTAATAGAAGTAAAATTAAATAAAAAGTAACTGTTTTGTTTTAAAGTATTCTTTTCACATGAACCTAATCTTTAACTATAGGACTTTAATATGTATTACCTTATGATATAATCAGTAAAAGCATGTATTAGCAACAGTTATAGATATAACGAGTAAGAAAAGATTATACAAAACTTTCATTGTACAAGAACGATGATTTTTCAATATAACTGACAACTATGTCAAAAAATGATTTGGTACATTTCTCTTATACAGTATTCCAGGTGAAATTTTTTCATTTTAATATTAAGTAAATATTTAACATGCTAATTTTAATAATTTCTTGAAAAAATTATTATACCAATTATTACTAATATTAAATTAATTTCAATGTTTTTATGACTAACATTAATGTAAACTTGTATTAATTTAGATCTAACGTTAATAATGAGAAGTTAAATATTTACCTTCTTGGCGTGTACGGGCCTGAAAAGTTACATTGTTCTCTTTTTATGATATAATTAACAAAAGCATATATTTTACCCAACAGCTTATAGATATATACGAAGATAAGAAAAGCAATCTACAAAGACTTTCATTTGTACCAGAACCGATGACTTCTTTCAATATAACTGACAACTATTGGTCAAAACAATGGCATTTGGTAATTCTTTTATACATCAATACATTAAGCATCAATTGGTCAGGTGGAAATTTTGCATAATTCATTTTAGATCTTAAGTAAAGTATTTAACAATGCTCAATACAGTTTAAGTTAATTGCTTGAAAAACATTTATAATGATACCAATTAAAGTATACTAACTATTGTTGTTATAAGCCATGTTTCTTAGTCTAAAATTGGATGTAAACTTGTATTTGATTTTAAGATCTCGATTTTTTCGTTAATAATCGAGAAGTTAAATATTTTACAGGAACCAGGAAAGAAACCTTCTATGGGCGTGTACGAGGCCTGGAAGAAAGGTTACTCTGGCAAGGGAGTTGTTATAGCAGTGCTGGACGATGGAATGGACATTAACCACATCGATTTAAAAGATAATTATGTAAAATATCTATTTGTTAAAATTGCTGTCCACAAACTGTTTAACAAGAAGACAGCACGACACTCATGTTCTTCGTTAAATTACAATTTAAGTTTTTATGAATTTTTATTCTTGTTAGCAAAATATTGTTCAATGGCCTACTGATTCTTCTGTCAAGAAGAGAGTGATTATTTCACTTTCTTCTCTTTTATGTTGTTTTCAATTTTCGTTGGATGTTGTTTTTTTAATTGACCATACTATTGCAGTCGTCTTGCAGTTTTAAGCACAACCTTGTTAAAAATATCTTGTAATAAAGAAGTCGGTCAAGAACAATAAAAGCAATAGTTAAAAGAAACAAAATTGCAAAAGCATATTGTCTAATTTCGTTCATGAAAAATAATGATGAAATATGCACTATTCCTAACGGCCCCCTAGCACCGGCTTAAGTGGTATTTAATCCTCAACACTAAAAGTATTACAATCAATGATCCCGAAAGAGCAGACAACTAAACAATACTAATGTGTAAGGTTCATTAATATTTACATCCTCATTTCCTGGATACAAGTATTGGTTTTTCCTCTTCAGAATGGTATACTTAGTAAGAATTTTGTTCATGACGAGATTGGAGGTATACATGTTGCAGATGATGACGGGTATGTTTAAATAAATAAATAAATAAATAAATAAATAAATAAATAAATAAATAAATAAATAAATAAATTATACCTCTTACTTGTTGAGTCATAAAAAGTAATGCTTAGAAGTTTTCTTAAATATGCGCCATGCACAAATAATTCTGGCTTGTATCGTACAACATTTTCATTACAAAAAAACTTTTTTAAATTTTCAGTTGACACATGAACAGATAAAAACATAGAAATGTTTGTCGTTCAAGGCATGCAAGTTTATGTAAATGTTTTCATTACAAAAACTTACTTTCCAGGCATGGAACACGATGTGCAGGCATTGCAGCCGCTGCCAAGAACGATAATTGTGTTATAGGAGTTGCCTACGAGGCTACAATAGCATGTAAGAAGATATTGTAATGTTATTCTCTCCAAGTTCTCCATTTACAAACAATATATCTATAATTTTTCAATAGAAATAAATAAAAGATATATTATGTCCGGATTATCTTCATTCCTTATAGTTTTGTTTTACAAAATTACTAATTAGCAATCATTCAAATTCATTTTATCGCAAAATAGCTAATAAAAAGACTTGTAAAAATGTAAATACTTGGTAAGTAAACAATGTGGTATGTTGCTCAATAAATGAACTGTTTATAAATATAATGACACAAATAATGAGGCAAGCGGGCGTTTTGGGGGATACATTATAAATGTATAAACATATAATGTATAAGATTAAATAAAGAACTTGTTAAACAGTAAAAACAAAGCACAACAAAAAGAAAATAAAAAAAGAAGACAAAAGTCCTTAATTTTATGTGTACCTTTATATGGAAAATGTTATCTTAAGCAATTTTGATAATTGCCCTTTTTGTATTATTAAGCTTTACGGATACTTGATGAGCAATCAACTGTGTCTGTTACTGTGGATGCTCTAACGCATGAACTAGACAAAATTGAAATCTTCAGCAATAGTTGGGGTTATCCTGGCAACGGATATGGATATGATCCGTTATTTGAAATGGAAGAGGCTGCTTTGATTCAAGGAATAACTACGGTAACGTTAGATATATGAGCAATTTAGCCTGTCCGATTTCTTGATAAATTTAAACATTAGTTTTTCTGTCTTGTTCACGCAAAAAGAAAAAGAAAAAATCCAACAGTCAATAATTACTTTCTCCTGACAAATGTTTCCAGCTTTATTTTGTTACAAAATTTCAGTAAAAGCTAACCATGTTTAAAAAAAAAACTTGTAATTTTGACGATCATTTTAAACAATCACATATTTCCCCTGATCCCCTGACTGTGGCAATTGGTAAATAAGGTAAAGGCTTCGATTTTGAACAATTACAATTTTAATGAGATTGTTTAGATGCAGAAGAGAATACAAACCATGCTGGTTTAGAACATTATATTGATGTATTGTAACAGGGGCGTAATGGCAAGGGAGCAATTTATATATTTGCTGCCGGTAACGACGGTGCGAAATTTGACGACTGTACAGCAGCAGGTCATATCAACAACATTTATACAATCAGCGTTAATGCACTGGACCCGGATGGTAGTCTAGCTAGTTATTCAGAGGAATGCACAAGTATGATGGTTGCAACATATGGAGGTGACAAACTCAACAGAACAAATAGTTTAATTGTGAGTGACATTTTCTGAGTGCCATTATACATATGGTTCTTTAATACGGGTATCCCAAGTTTAAGGAAGTCTGCGCGAGACTATCATATTATACTTTGGAATTGTGATTTATTTATAAGATGGTATGTTACCTTTTGCTTAAATGTTGCACATGCACAAAAATTTATCATAATGAACATGTACAATTTTGTAAACACAAATCTACATCAGTCGTTATATGTAAGCTTTAAAATAACATCTTATTCCTTTCCTCCATTGCTTTGAGTTATATTCAGCGTCTGCAAAAATGAAAATTAATTGTTAAACCGATTTTCGATTGCATAATTAATCATGTTTTAAGTGAAATCACAACATTCTGTATCACTGTATTATTAAAACTCTAAACAGCTTTAATGATAAATCATTTAGATCTCGCTAACAATAAGAGAGTACCTGTTATATCAACAATATTTTTGTAAATTGATTTAATACGAACACTGTTATAAAACAGCATTGTGTTTCCAGGCAACCACGATAAGAAATGATTCATGTACAGACGACTTTTTGGGGACATCAGCTGCATGCCCTATAGCTGCAGGCATTGTGGCATTTGCACTGCAAGCAAAGTAAGTCATTTCAAAATTGGACATGCCTTAATTAAATATATATCCTTGTACATCAATGTGTCTGATGATAGGCAATAGCAAATAATAATAATAAAAAAAACAAGTAAACTGTGTTCCTTGCTTACAGTTTTCTTGCCGTAACAGACCAAGATATTCTCATTGCACTCTACAAATTTCCCTTTATTCGAGCCATCATTTATAAAAAGCAAGCACTGTATTATTTTGTAATTAAAGATAATTTGATAGCTGTATGGAAATTACGCAACATGACTTTATGTGACTTTTATTGCAATGAAACAAGCAAACACTGAAGAAAGCAGAACAAATAAAATAAAAAATCACCCTAGTACCAACCCTTACCGTCCCTGTTGAGCCACTCCCCTCGGCTTCAGTCAGGACATTGGCAGCTTGTCCACTATCCAAATTACGGTTTACTTTTCGGCGTTACTTGTTTCTTTATATCATTTAATCGACGTATAAATGTTTCGATGAGTATGGAGAGTCTAGTCAAAGACTAAAACATCGTAGAGAATTTTATTTCAAAATGCATATACATGTAGTTAAATCTCGAATAAAGATATATACTCTAGTGCTATTTCTTGTGATCTTCAATCATCTTTTTACATTTATGTGTCAAGTAAAGTTACATATATATAAAGGGATGTTATATTTTCTATACAGCCCTGATCTAACATGGAGAGATGTTCAGTATCTTATAGCGATGACGTCATCTTATGAGGACGTACCAGGAGATATATACCAGACAAATGGTGCAGGGCTAAATGGTAAAGCAAGTTTAAATTCACTATCCTTAGTATTGTGCTTTTGTATTGTCATTTTTCATTAGACCATCTAAATGTTTATATAATTTAGATACACGGCATATGCTAATTTATGAATACATTTTTAATTTATTTTAGCAATGAAATGATGCTGTATCAAAAACTCATTTTAATAAAGAGTTTTTAAAAGGTTCTAGTATGTTGCAATATAACCCATGCCTTGCAACTTTGGATTTATAAGCATACAACTGTTCAATATCTTTGCCATATGAAACTTCAAATATTAAAGTTGAAAGATTTGCGTTACATTGAAGGCAAAAATAAATGCTTTTCATGTAACCAAGGTCGTCTTGTTTATCTGTTGTTGTTTTTGTTGTTGTTGTTGTGTTTGTTGTTGCTCAGCTTTGCTAATACTTTGTTTTGTCTTTTCAATATTATGACTACAGTCAGCGTATCTCACGGGTTTGGATTGATGAACGCCGACAGAATGGTCATGGCTGCAGAGTCATGGACAACTGTACCTGACAAAATAATATGTGTTGGTAAAACACAAATTGTCAACGAGTATGTATTTACGGTGAAATAAGAATAATAAAAGATATAGTAGTAACAAAAATGATTCTGCGTTTATAAACAACTGAATAAACAATTGGCTTTCAAGCACAAGTGTATTATGTAAAGGAAAGATTTTAGTCAATAGCAAAAGGTGTTTATGTTAAGATGCCGTAGTAAACCTTTTTTAACTAGTTTTGTGATTTGTGATATTTTCTGATAGCTCATTCAGTGCAGAACAATCATCTATTCTTAGAAATAACACAGCGTACACTGATTAACTTTTACTTATAATTTTCGTATAGTACTTGTAATTACAAATAATTAATGATATTGATTATTTCCTCGGCAAATAGGAAAGGTAATAGTAGTAAATTCACCGGAAGTGAATGTGTAAACCAACAACTTACGGTCGAAAAGAAAACAAAACAAACCCGTAATGTTACCAAAGCTCATCAATGTAGATATTAATGTATATATGTCTACACACTATGTGCTTTTTCTTTATAAACTAAACTGATATATAAGTGACTTATCTGTTTCAGGTGCTGTACAGATTTTATTGAAGCTAAATACGATGTACAAAACTGCCATATAAAGCATTTAGAACATGTAGAAGTACACGTGTATTTTGAAGCAATTTGGCGGGAATACATAGAACTTCATCTTATATCACCGTTTGGAACTGATAGCAGGATTTTGCGTCAGAGAAGGGCAGATTTCGAAACATCAGCTGTTGATTGGACGTTTCTGACAGTGTTTAATTGGGGTGAGGATCCTACTGGAAACTGGACCATCAGGATGGATGACTTTCTTACATGTGATAACGGTAAGTAATGGTGTCAGTATACTTAACCGTTATTATGCTAAGGAAATTGTCGTCTGCTAAAAATATCTTTTGCTTTATGATTAAATTTCTGAAATTCCGAGGAAATATAGTCTGAAAGTCAAATAGTTTTGAATTTGACCACACGGCGACCTACTGGGCGTAGGTTTTCGATAGCATTTATGACCACAAACAGCAGACGCAGAATTTAATGGTTAATTTACAAAGAAATAAGTTCAAAAATTTGACAATACATTTCAAGATTTTGAATTACAACAGGACAGAACATGAATTTGTTTGGATAATATATCAAAATGAAATGTCTTAAATATCTATGTATCAATTTTCTCTTGATAGTGAGTGATAAGACCTGACGACATATGAAAAAATATTTTATTGATATAAACTATTAACAAAAGAATGAATACGGCAAAGTAATAGATTACATTTGTACAAAAAAATAAATGCTATATTTATGGTATATGGAATATAAACTGTCAAGATAAATACTATTTTATATATGTATTTAAGTGATATAATTTCTATTTTTCCAGAGATATATTTGTATACATGGTCGCTAACATTGCATGGTACAGTCACAGACCCAAAAGCTGGAACACCCAAAAGTAAGAGATGCCTTGATAGTAGAGCGAAGCTTGATAAAAATGCAAGCTTAGAAATTGTGTATCGAAATCAGCAATTACTGAATTCATTGTTTATGTCAGTCAGCGATTTAATGCAGAACTATTCTAGTACAAAATATATCGTTTATGAGTAAATTGAAATGGCTAAACGAAATCAGCCTCTTTTCTTAAAACTTAAAATAGTTTTTCCCCCACAAATATAAGAAATAAAACTGTTGCATTATATTAGTGTTGTTTCTTTCTACTAAAGCATTTCTTGTCTCTAATTAATATGAATTTAATTTTTGATATAAATAAGGATTACCCAGAGTTCCAATATTGATGTATTAACTTAAGGAACTAAAAGCAGTTTTAGTAATTAGAAGTTTTTTTCTCAAGATTCTTGAAAAAATAGAAGAGGATTTTAGAGGCAAGCTGTTTTGAAATAGATGTATTGCTATGACTATTACTATAACATTTATATTACAGACGGTACACTGGGAGGGTATTGTGGTGATGACGTAAGCTGTGTTGAAGATCTTCACTGTCTTCTGGGCTTTAATCTGTGTGTCTCGTGTAATATATCAGACTACAAAATCATCAACGGATACTGCGCTAAAGGTATTTATTGACATGACTTTTTCTTGTTTGTAACCCAAGAAACATTGCGCTTATAGTATTTGATATATGAATATATTTTACTCTTGTTTGTGGTTTTAGAAATGTACTTGATTTATTAACACAACTAGCTTGTTCTTGGTCATGGAAACGTTTTGCTAAATGCATTTGATTTATTAACATGACATCTCATTGTTGTTTCTGTTTTCGTGACTGCCGGGATGATTTGTTACAATATTTCAAGTGTCTAGGATTGAATACCGAATAAGCCGGTGCTGGGGTGCGTAAGGATTGTTACATTGATCAGAATTTAACCGAGTCTACAATTTGTAACTATTTGTGTTTGATTTAATTGTTCCCGGAGGACACTTCTAGAACGTTTCCTTATTTATGATCTTATAACATAAAATATGATTTTTTCCGAGATCCAAAAACTTTTTTTTTTTACAATTTTCTCAAGTACAATAGCCATTCTTTGGTGCGTTACGTTATTTTTTGATACTCTTACTTTTTTTAATAATAAAATCGTATTTTACCTTCGAGTCAAAAAGGTCCGAGTGGGAGCATCCAGCAAGTGCACCAAGACGTAGTATCCTTACATTGAAAACAATTGTGTTAATAGTATTCGACTTGCTCTTGTTTATGATCTTATAAAAATACATTTTTCATGTGATTTTAATGTACTTTAGATGAGTTGTATTAAATCTGACATTGACAATGTTGATATTCTTTCATCTAGTCATAACAATTTATTTATTCATTTTGTTTATTGTGATATATTTACGAATACTTGAACTTATTTTCCAGATAGAACAACTGGTGGATATTGTGATGATAACAACATATGTGAAGCTGAAGAGTCATGGTGCAATGATGATAATTTCTGTGAACAATGTGACACGAGTTTCCGCAGATACGAGGATAACTGTTATCAGGGTATAGTTATTTGTCATAAATAGCTGTTATCATTTGATATATTTGTATTTGTCACTCACTTCCACTTTAGACATATAAAAGGTACTTCAAAGATTATGGAATGCTTTGAATGACAAGACCCATTGAGTATTCCCAGTGAAAAATGTATATTGGCCAATATTGTAGAAAAGCGGAAACCTTCAAATACAATGCACAGAACTGGAAATTGAAGATGTTGCAGACTCGGTTTGATTGAGTTTGTTTATGGACGGAAGTGGAAAGTACAAGCAATCGTTCATGCTCCCTAGCACCGCCTTATGTATCATTCATCATACATACAATGTACATTGTAATATATAACACCAGTTGACGTAATTTTTCTTTGCTCTTTAGATGGCAAATTAGGCGGATTCTGTGATTACAGTTTGTCCTGCTCTGAGCCAGATGTTGGTTGTAATGGGCTGATAAACCGCTGTATAAACTGCACTAACGGATTCCATACTATACGTGGATATTGCACTGAAGGTAATACTACGGTGTACTGTTCACGACAGTTACAAGTTCGTCCTTTCAACGCAAAGATACGAGAAAGTGACATCTCTCCTCTTAGCTCTTACAAATCGTATTCAAACACGAAAATTGGAAATAATTAGCGACCTAGCTTTCACATGATATGATTCATAAACTTCTTTTTTTATCTCATCCCTAAGCACGTATTATATTATATATTCATGCTAGAAAAGGGCGATGTTTTTACTGCTGGGAATGGGACAGGCTATAAAATTGGACCTCTAGAATAAGAGCTTTGATCATTTGCGATAATGCAATACGACTTCCGTGTTATAATCGTTTGATAATGGCTTTTAAAAATTAATTCTAATGAACCTAAGACTATTATCAATAAAATACACGAAATTCTATATTACATAAATTTAATTAAATTTTAGGATCAATGACATAATTTGTTTGAAATTCGGAATAAAAATCGATGGCTTACAAACCTATATCTGTCAGATAATATACATACAGAAAAATGTCAATAAGCAAACAATTAATTAAAATAATGATTATTATCGGTAAAATTAATTGAAATAATGTTTATCATCGGTAGATTTAATTGAAATAATGATTATAATAGGTAATATGTGATATATTTTATAAATTTAGATGGAACAATATACGGATATTGTGATTCAGAGATACAATGTAACACGGAGGAATCTGAAGCATGTTCTCCGACGAATAATTGGTGCGTTACGTGTTATACGGACTATGGACAACACATCATAGATGGATTCTGTATTGACGGTAAATCTTCTGAGTTATATACACATAAAATAATAATAATAATAATAATAATAATAATAATAATAATAATAAGAATAATAATAATAATAATTAGAATAATGATGATACTACAAAATGTAATAATAATTAGAATAATGATAATAATAATAATAATAATAATAAAGACAATAATAATAATAATTATAATATAATAATAATAATAATAATTTGTTTTTCATTGCATCATTTATGCTTATGAGATTTATGAAAAAATGGTCAAATTTAAAAGGTGGCAAATATGATATAAACCTACTTCTTCAGCATCATTTTCAAAGTCTAAGGATTTCTGGGGTTACTGTACTACATGATGAGGATATATATATCAGTTTAAAACTGATATACAATGTACATTTATATACCATTAATACCTGTAGCATATAAATAGAACTGTTGAAGCCAGAAAGAAAATAGGAAAATATTAACGTTTTCACTTTTTTTATTCGAAGATCCTTTTTCCCATTATTGGTTACTAGTTTGCCTTGTTAATCATTTCTTCAGACGGAACGATTGGCGGATTTTGCAGTGATCTTGTACCATGTACAGACGGTGTTAGCGGGTGTGATCTAGAGATGAACAGGTGTGTAGCGTGTACAACCGAGGGTTTCCACATTATCAATAGCATTTGCAGAAAAGGTAATGATTTAACTTTGTCTTCCTTGTTGAAATATTTTAGAATTACAAGCTTGAGGCTATTTTGTATACAAGTTTTATCAATATAGGGGCTTCTTAATATCTGTTACCTGTAATTACTCGCCCCTCATCCGCTCTTGGTCAAAATCCCGTCAGGGACTTGAAGTCTTTAATATAAGGAAGGTATCTTAAGTAGCTTACGGAAGGTCTGTGGTTCTACATTGGTGCCCGCTCGTGCCTTAAATAATGCCGAGGTCTTCCTCCTCTAAAAAGTGGAAAGTCGCTTTATGACTAGTGCCGGTATGTACTTAAATTCCAACGAACCAAAAACAATTCAAACATATTATTTTTTCACTATTTATGATTAAGAGACTATTTTTGATACTTTCTTTAAAAAATTACATTTCTAAATTTTCACTATAAATAAAAGTAAAGTAATATTAATGTGTCATTGGCGTAAAAAACCCCAACTTAAAATGTTAAGTATTTTAAAAGGTTTTGGGCCAAGACTATTCCATACCGAAGAAAAAACAGTCTAATACAAATGAATTAATGTAGCTGAGTTATGTAAAATAACAACTGGTTTTGCCATACACATATATTAAAATTATAATATAACTTGTCGTTTTTGTCCATCAAGATGGTTTACTACACGGTTATTGTAACGAGACTGTTAAATGTCCAGACGACATAGGGTGTCACCATCAGCTGAATGTTTGTATCGTATGTTCAACCCCCAATTATCGCATTGTAGGCGATGGATTCTGTAGGGAAGGTTCTTGTTGTTGTTCCATGTTTTTCATTTGCAAATATCGTAATATTTCAATATGTTAATGTTAGTTTAAACAAATTTTTTATTCATAATATAGTTTCATTTTTAATAACAAATTAGATCAAAGAAATCTCACTGATTATGTCAAATGCTGGAAAGGATCATTTTAATTTGTGTCTGATTTGGTTTTTCTTTAGTTTGGATATTGCTTTTGTTTGATTTCAATGCCAACGGAATGCAACTTTTTCTTTATAGCAACATATTGCATCTAAAAGATGTGATGTTTCGAGGTCCTTTCATTAATGCTCTGATATGTTTTGTTCAGACCATCTCCTTTGTTAATTTTCTTTGTCTTTAGATGAATTCTTATTGTTATATTGAAATAATCAGCAACATATTTTAGTTTCAATATATATAATATCAACCGACTTGTTTGGACAGATGGGTCAGCAGGTGGCTATTGTGATACTAATATAACGTGTGGACAAGCATTGTCGGGTTGTATGAAAGACACGAACACGTGCGGTATTTGTTATGCTGGATATCACCTTGACAACGAATTTTGTATTCAAGGTATTTGTCTATCATTGAATACATTGAATTGTCGAAGAATGAAATCCTTATAAGAATATACAAAACGTACATTTGCTCGTACCAAAATTTCGGATGGTATTACGCTTTTTTTGTCGTACATGCCTTTTTCGATGAGGTAAATATTTGTATATAGCAAACTGATTGTAGTTTGGTGTGAGAAAACAACATTTTTTTAACAACCGATTATCAACGTACTTTGTAATCTCTTATTAAACACAAAAACAATATTATAATTTACGGGAAAGGCAAGTTTTCTGTGTACGATACGTTTACATATTGATATTTCACGCCATTTCAGGTCGGTTTACTGACAACAAAATTCCCAAGATTGACGATGTTTCACGATATTTTATGATAATCGGTTGTTTATTTGGCGGAACAACTTCCGGTATAGCTATTTCTGCTCCTATATGCTTCATTATAGTTAGAATACTATTTCCTCCAAAACAGAAACCTGTCACCATCAATGGAAAAGGTACCTTCAAGACTGAGGGAGAAATTAACAAAGGATTTGTGTCGCAAAACTAATGCGCAATCAACTTTTTGATACTTTGAAGATTTAGTTGTATTACATGATGAGGACTTATACCTGTTAAAACCGATAGACTGTGTACATGTATACCTGTGAAGCTAGAAAGAAAATAGGAAAATACGAACGTTTTCACTTTTTGTCTTATTCGACGATCCTTTTCCCACTATTCCATATACTATTGGTTACTGGTTTGTCTTTTTATTGATTTCTTCAGATTTTTTTTTGTCTCACAAAACTAACGCGCAACCAACATTTTGATACTTAAAAGATTTAGTTGTAATACCTCTCAAAAATTGTTTCATGATAAAATGAAATTGTAGTCATTCATGCGTAAAAACGTTGTTCAGTGTACAAATTTTGTGATTTAGTCTAGCAGGAGACGCCCACTTTCCACAGAAAATAACCATAAATTCAAAAAAGACAACGCAGAAATGTCTATTACTATAATGGTTAATAGGGTGAATTTTTTGTGAATAAGTTTGTAAATTACATATATGTCGTCGTTATGATTATTTTGAAAATTGATTTAATGAATCATTTTTATACCATGTCAGCTAAATATTCACAATAATTGATTTTCACGTCTAGATTTTTATAGCTTATTGTATTTATGATAGAAAATTTAATACAAATGTTATAACTACCAACCATAATAGTGGACAAAAGATGTAAATATTTTGATAAAATTCTTTCGCCGAAACGTTTATAAAAGTCTTACATGAAAGTGTGTGTGTTTTTTCCCATAAAATTTAACACTCCTCATTAGAAAACAAACATGGATCAAACAGTTATTTTCATTACATCTTAAGTTGTGTAGTTACTCTATGCATTTTTTTCCACTTTTACATATAGTTTGTTAAAACATAATTATTTTCTTTATAAATAATTTGTTATTTTTTCTATAATAGGACTTTATTATTCAATGGTTGCTATTGGTTCAGTTTTGTTGCTTTTTCTCATGAAAATGTTGCGTTTTTATTGTATATGTGTTTAGATAAGAGACTCTTTTTTAAAATGTCTTTGTTATTATTTTCTAACTCACTATAATCAATAGAAAAGAATGTCTAAAATACCTCAACCATCTGAGAGAAATGATATGATGTCAATCACAGACAGAAAATTTTAAAGATATTTAAGTCAATATAAAAACACCATGGAACAAGAAGAATTCAGAATATTTTAACCGTAAAGATTATAGTTGTCGTATACATTCAAATATTTTATATCAGGGTTGCATACACCACGTGATATATGACGTTAGTTTTGAAATACCACATTCAGCATGTTGGCCTCTATTCGATGGAAAAATCAAAAGCCCTGAAAAGTTCTAAAAGACACTGACTTCATCTGAAATTAAACAATTTTGAATTGACTTTCTCGTTTTAAATGGCAGAAAATCAGCTTAAGATTATATTGGAATGAATGAATGAATGAATGAATAAATGAACGAATCAATCAATCAATCAATCAATCAATCAATCAATCAATCAATCAATCAATCAATCAATCAATCAAATTATGCATACAATAAATTAAAAAAATATAAATAAATATATAAACCAATTATCTAAATAAATAAAAAAAATAGAACCTGAAAACAAGAGTAAACGTAACAAAAAAGTAAAGTTTTAAAACTGATACTGACACTGAGAAATAAGACATTATACTGATACAAGTGTATCACAAAGGTCAGAAAATAGTTCATTAAAATAATTTCATTGATATATATGTCATACTAGTTAATGTTTCGATAACCGATATAATAATACCTAATACTATGTCACTTTAACCGAACAGTTGAATTTCTTTCATCAACAACAATGTTATCAGTTGCCTGATGACCTTTTATGACAAGATATCTAAGGATAATGAACTCAATATCGACTAATATCGGGGAATAAAGCAATAGTTTCCATCTTTAATTGAAGGTTCCAAGATGACCGCGGTATGGACACATTTGATAATGTTTCCTACTTCAAATTTTACCCTTCCGGCCGGTGCTAGGGGGCGTGCACGGTAACTTTTTAAATCCGTCTATGAACATGCTCAATCAAATCGAGTATGAAACATTTTTAAATTGTGCCGTTTTGGACGTTGTTTAGGGATTTTTTATTTCTATTTTTTTTTACATTTTGCTTAAACCACTTTTGGCACATTTTTGACACGCGGAGAGTGTGTTTTCCAGTGAGACGTCATTATTCGAGAAATACAAATATGGTTGTTGCATAATTGCTAATTAATTAGTGTCCGTAAAATCCATGGGTAATGATTCGCAATTAGGAACGGCATTAATATTCACTTTGAATACTGTAAATAGAATGTAATATCATCTTATTTATGTCAAGAACGAGGAGTTTACTTCATAAGTTATTCACTATACATATGATATGAAAAAAGTTACCAAAGCTCATGTTTCCGCTGTGAAATGCCGTTCACAACAAGAGTAGTTTTTAGCTTTACTTGATAAGATTTGTAAAGATTATTACAATTGTTATATGTTATAATTCACTTCCATGCAATGTCCACGGAGTTTGACCAAAAGATATAAATTTCTAGCCAAAAGTGGGTCACTGTACGGCTGTCAGTGAGAACCTTAATGTACTGTAACCTAAGACAACAATGAAAGGAGGTAGCCCTTAGAAGGGCTGTTTGTGCCAAGCAAAGGTCCTGCCTTAAAAGCCGTCATTCGTACTAGGGGCTCAAAGAGCAAAACGCCTGCCTTACAAGCCGTCATTCGTACTAGGGGCTCAAAGAGCAAAACGCCTGCCTTACAAGCCGTCATTCGTACTAGGGGCTCAAAGGGCAAAGCGACTGCCTTACATGCCGTCATTCGTACTAGGGGCTCACGCAACCTCGACTCTGCCTACTTTGTAGGGCAACTCCCATCGGCTTTAGTCGGGACACCGGCAGTTAACTTCGTCAAGTGTAAATGGGTGCGTATGATAATAAGATGTTAGTTATTATATAATTACAGATATCGTTTTAATCAAAAAGACGAAAATAGACATACATGTATAAGCATTTGTAAATAAATATCTCGAATTTGACCTCGACATCATTATATACGATTATAACTGTGCTACTATTTAATGACCTCTAACTTAATACATGAAAAATAAAAATATTTTTTATATATAGATGTTTGACTATTTTTTTCTTAAAAAAGAAACCCCATGTAACAAAAATTGGTTGCTGATTTCTATTTAAAACTTTGAGTCAATTTTTTACTTAATCTTTAAAATTTTTTTTTTGATGCAAAATTTTTCCCGGGAATTTAAATTGGGCATTTAAAACTATAAATTTAAACAAAATAAAAAATGGGAAAAAATAAAGGGAGACAATAAAGTTAAGAGTAAATGGGAATGAATGAACGAAACAAACAAACAAACAAACAATCAATCAAATTTTTACACAAATTATTCAGAAAGAGATACCCGAAGAAGACTGTTGAGAGTCAAAACGTACTGTGTTTTTTTAAATAAACAATACATTTTAAATACTGGAGTTGATTTCTATATTCAAACGTACAGGAAAATAAAAAAGCAAACAATGATCGATAAATGTAAAAACAATAACATGACAAAATGGTTTACATATCTCTACCAGATTAAAGTAAGATCTGGATCTTGTTTTTATTATTAATATTATTACTGATATATGAACAAGCGTGTTTAAACTTAATATTTAATCTATTACTTAAAGAAAATAAGAATGCATTTTCTCAGTTCTTCTTAAGTTAACACATAAAAATACCAATAAATATTAGTTTTTGTTATAAAAGCAAAACAATAAAATTTTTGTTAAATAAGTTTTGTAATAAAAACAATTTGTAAATAAAACACAAACATATTTCTGGATCATTATAGGTATTACATGTATAACATTTTCTATTCGTTGACCTCGTCAGCATATTAGTAAATAGTTTCACTATTGTCAGTCCTTGTCAACCTTTTGAACCATACCCGTACAAACCGTGCCATCCCATCTGGAACAAAATGAAAACAATAAAGTAAAATAACTGGATTTTTCACATTTACGACCATCTCATTGTGGGTGCCTAAGGCATTTATACCATCACATACTAAGTGGCACCTATAAAATGTTGCCCCTTACATAACCCAGTCTGCTCTTGTCTCAGTTTTGCAGGAATTATTGTACACACACAATCATAGTCCGATATAATGTTTAGTCATTAATTTTCAGTCATTAGTTCAAATTGGTTAAAAAGGAAATGTTTGCTCGTCCATATGGTTCAGCGCGGTGGCAATGGAAAATTACTCATTGTTGTTTTATTTTCTTGTCATACTGGTACGCTGCTTTAAGAATAAATGCTGCTTCAGGCGGTGACATGTAGTCTACAAGCAAGAGGGATGGAGCACATTTCATTTATCCTCATGAACAGTTTTAATCAATCTGCTTTTGCAATTTTCACGTTTTTTACTTCTGCTACAATTACCCTCTATGTATTTACGTCTTTTTATAGCATAATTCATATTTAAACAAAAACAAAAACAACAACAACAACAAAAAAATACATTTAAAAATATCTCTATTTCTCTAAGTACATAATAGTTAGACTCTACTTACCGAATGACCTGAAGACAGACATCCCATTGAAAAATTCACCGTTTTGTTCATCCTCAGCGTGTTCCGTGGGAAAACACCTTACAAATGACATCATCACTACAGACACAATTACTGCACACAAGACAACACGAGCAAGCTGTAACTCCATTTTGTTCACAGATGATACAGTTTATCTCAATGTTAAACGTGTAATTTTGTATTTTCAAAAATTATGCATTCATTTTAACAATCAGATTTCCCTCCAAAATTTCTTATGTTAGTATTAGTTTGTGTAGATTAACAATCTTATCAAAATTTAAGTGAAACGTGTATGCTCAACTGATTTATATTTAAATAAACCATACGTTCTAAATTTCGGAAAGATAATTCCGCCTTTCATATCATTTTGATATGTAAAAAAACCTTTAATTGAGATTTATTATATACACAAAGTTTTGATAACGCAAG